TCCTTTAATATCCATGTCTTTCCTGACATTCTGTTGCGAAGCTCTAAGATTAGTATGAATAACAATGGTGATAAGGGGCATCCTTGTCTTGTACCTTTTGGGATATTTATAGTCTCTGTAAATTCTCCATTAATTATTATTCTGGCAGTCTGTTTTTGATAAATAGTTGTTATTACATTTATAAATTTTTCACCAAAGTCCATTTGTTCTAATTGCTCTTTCATGAACTGACGTTGTCAAATGCCTTTTGCGCATTTAAACACAATAATGCCATTTGTTTTTCAGAGTGGACTTCAGAGTGGACTTTCAGAGTGGAGAGCCAGTGTGGCGTAGTGGTTAAGAGCTGGGACTGGGACTCAGGCGACCTGGGTTCGAGTCCCCGCTCGGCCATGGAGCCCACTGGGTGACTTTGGGCCAGTCACAGACTCTCAGCCCAGCCTACCTCACAGGGTTGCTGTTGTGGGGATAAGACGGAGGAGGAGAATGATGTAAGCTACCTTGAGCCCTTTGTAGGAAAAAGGCAGGATATAAATCTCAATATAAATAAATAAATAATACATAATACTCTAGAACAGGGGTCCTCAAATTTTCCACCAGGGGGCCAGTTGAAAGGTGTGGTGCTGGGTGCGGGCTGGAAAGGTGGTGCCGGCGGTGTGCGCAGGCTGACGGGCGGGGACAGGGGTGGGGCAGGGCACGCGGCAAGGCAAGGTGAGGTGCTGTTGGTGTCCCTGCTGGCCAGGTGACTTACAGACCCACCAAACCAAGTGCCAGTGAGGCTCAGTCAGGCGGAGATTCGTTCAGTTTTCTTTATTCAGCTGAGCAAAGCAAACAGGTGTCCGCTCCCCACACGCAGACAGGAAACGACACACACACATTCCTCCAACCGACCCTTCTTGTACTTTTTACCTTCTTTCACTCAATCTCACCCCACGGTTCCCTCACCCAACCCCCTCTCAGGGCCTGCCTGACCCTCCACCCAACCCCCTTGCGGGGTCTGCATGCCCACTGCGTGCCTGGCCTCGTGCTGGCGCTTATCTAGGTCCCGTCCCCTCACAGGGGCAGCGTGATCGCTGCGTGCCAGACCTTGCGTGGGGGTCTTCTCTCACCCACCGCCTCTTTGTCTCCCTTTATCAACATTCTTTTGCCTTTCCCTTTCCTCTCCGAAGCAAGCAGTTTTACAAAAAGCAAGTGGCTCCTTCCGCGAGGTGCGGGCAGGGGAGGGCACGTGCCATGAGGCAGGCACACGAGGCAGCGGCTTGGAGATCGTTTTCTCCCAACAGGCAAACCGCTGCCTCCCCGTGCGCAGGGCAAGGTGGGCGGCGGCGGGCACACTTGTGGATGCGGGCACAAGCGGTGGGTCCAAATGGGCACGGCGGGCTGGATCCGGTCCCCGGTCCATCGTTTGAGGACCCATGCTCTGGAATATCCAGTAGAATCCTCACGTTGTCTCTGATTTGTCTCTTGGGCAAGAAACCGTTTTGATTTGTGCGTATAAAGACTATTACGAATTTTTTCAACCTTGTATAGTCTTGAATATTCTCAACTGGTATCTCTTTAGCTTGATATAATTTTGTAAAAAAAAATTCAACTATTTTCTTTATTGGTGCACTTTGTACTTGTAATTGTCCTTCTCTGTCTTTCAACTTAAGAATTAGTCTCTTTTCTCTTTCTTTCTTTCTTTCTTTCTTTCTTTCTTTCTTTCTTTCTTTCTTTAGCATATAGGCTAACCATCTTCCAGGTTTATTACCATTTTCAAAAAAAAATCTGTTTGGCCATTTTAATTTGCTTAACTAATTCATTTGTTTCTAAGAGATTCAGTTTATGTTTTAGAAGATTCATCTGTATCTTAAGATCCTTTTTGACAGATCCTTTTGTAGTTCCTGTTCTAGTTTTGTCAAGTCATCTGCTAATTTATATCGTTCTTGTTTTCTCTTTTTATTTACTTTGGCTGTATAGGTTATGATCTAACATAAGCTTTGGCTGTGCCCCAAACATTTTGTAGGGAAGTTTCTTCTATTTTATTTTCTTGAAAAAGGAATTTTAGTTCCCTTGTTATTTCTTCTTTAAAGTTTTTGTTTTTTAGAAGATGTTTATTAAATATCCATCTAGGCAATTTTGGTGTTCCTTTCATGGTCATGGTTACAGGATTATGGTCAGCCCAGACATTTGTGTCTGTTTCAGCTTCCAGCAGATGTGAGATTAAATCTGGGGTCACCCAGATCATATCAAGTCTAGACCATGACCTGTGTCTATTTGATTAGAAAGTGTGTTTTGCTGTAGTTGTGTTTTTGTGCCTCCAAGCATCTATCAGTCTAAATTCCTCTAGTAAGTTAAAATGATTTTGGAAGTATTCTCCTTAAAATTAAGAAGTTCTTCCTGTTGGTACTTAATTTTAAATGTTGAATCTCTAGATATATTACAAATATGTGCACTATAGATATGTTACAGACAGGCAGTGTAAATTTAGAAACATAGAAACCGAGCGAGTCAAAAGGGGTCTCCGGGCCATCTAATCTGACCTCCGGCACCAGTCGGCTCCGCTCACGACATGCCCACCATGTGGACGTCCAGCCTATCCTTGAACACCCGCACCAGTGGGGCCTCAACGACCAATTTGATTATGCGTTGCAGATTTAAAGTGCATATCTTGAAGTATCTGGTCATACAATAAAGATTATTTTGTCTTTTGTCACACCTGATTTATGTGAAAAGCCTTTTTCCATATATACAGCAATGAAAGCCAAATAAGGGAATAAAATGAATACAGAACCAGCAATGCGGTTGCAACTGTCATCAATAACCAATTTTTTTATTTTCTTTGTGGCAACAAACAAGCACATTCAAGTCATTAACATGATGTATTATGCTCATATTATTTGTTAGTGATGTTACTCTGAAGATTTGTATGTACAGGCAGTCCCCAAGTTACAAATCTCCAACAATACTTATGAATACTTACAAATCAACTGCCATAAAATCTATTAATTTTTTAGAAATTACTGTAGAATTTCATCATCATAGAGGAGGTGAAAGGGGAGAGAGGGAGGCCTCCTAAGCTTGCCTTCCTTGCTTGCTCATCCAGAGAGTTAAATCTCCGCAGCATTTCCTTGGTACAAAGAGGTGGAGCTGGTAAGTTGAGGGGTGAGCTATTTGGTCTAGAGAGCATGGCTGTCCTGTACTATACGTGCGTTATCTGACTTACAAATTCGTCTTTAAAATTGATTGATGATTGATTGATTGATTGATTGATTGCATTTATATACCACCCAGAGGGCTCTTTGGGTGGTTTACAAACCATTAATTTCAGTTTTCACAGGATCAGAACTCATTTGTAATGCAGGGACTGCTTATATTCAATAAATTTGGTATTTACTTAATAAATAATAAATAGGTTCATTAATGCATTTCTAAAGAGTTTCTGTTTTCATTATATGAGATTCAATTCCTAATTCACCTCAGTCTTTTCCCACAAGGAAATCTGCAATCAAGAGGAAGCACAAGCTGGAAGTAAGAGATGGCTACCCAAAATTGACAGTCAAATTGTCAAGGAATACCTAGATGGAATAAAAATGTGGAGCAAATTATTTAAAAATCTGTCTGTAAGCATATTGGGAAAAATGCAGTGATTACTAGAAGCCAGCATGGATTTATCAGAAAAAATCCTGTCAGACTATCTTGAACTCAATTTTTGACTGGGGAACCTCCCAAATGGACAGAGGGAACACTGTGGACATAATATACCTAGACTTTAGCAAAGCTTTCGACATAGTGCCACACAACATTCTGATAAGCAAATTAGCAGAAACTGGACTAGATTGAAAAACTGTTAAGTGGATCCAAAATTGGCTGCTAAATGGGACCTTCTCAAATTGGATGGCGGTAACTAGTGGGGTGCCACAGGGTTCAGTCCTGGGCCCAGTGCTCTTCAGCATCTTTATTAATGATTTACATAAGGAAGTACAAGGAAAGATAATCCTATTTGCAGATGATACAAAACTGGGTGGAATAGCAAACACCCTAGAAGACAGAATGAAGATCTAGAGCAGGGGCCTCAAACTCAACTCACCTGGGCGAGGCTGGGCCGCATCAAGTATCCCACCACCGCGGTGGTGGTGGGCCGCTCATCCCGCGGCCGGCCCGGGTGCCGCCGGCGCTTTGAAGGCCGCAGGGCCCCTCCCCGTGCCCCGCCGGCCCGGCAATTGGCCCGCGGGCCGCGAGTTTGAGACCCCTGGCCTAGGGTGATCTTGATAAACTTGAACACTGGGCTGAAAGCAGCAGAATGAGATTCAGTACGTAGAAGTGCCGAGTCCTCCACCTAGGACAGGGGTCGGCAACCCACGGCTCCTGAGCCGCATGTGGTTCTTGAATCCCTCTGCAGCGGCTCCGTCGCTCAAAACGTGCCGGCACAGCCGCCGATCTGAGATCCGTGCCCGTTCTGTAACTTTTTTTTTTTAATCACCAAAATTTGAAGCAAAGTGACAACAACAACAACGATTGCAGCCATCTTCCCCCCTCCCACCCCCCTGAGCATGACCGTGATTGCACCTGTCTTCCCTGCATGAGCACTATCATGATCGCAGCCATCTCCCCCTCCGCCGAGCGCGATCACACTCATGCAGGGAAGATGGGTGGGATCGCGATCGTCACTCGATGTGGAGTTCGCGACCTGAGGCAAAATTTTTCTGAAATTTCTGTTCACAACCTGATTTGGTCGTGAACTGAGGCGTTCCTGAGCAGAGGTGCCACAGTATTGCCTCTCCTCTGCTGCTCTGGTGCAGGGAGACCTCGCAATTCAGCTGTGGTGATTTGGTGCACACACCACCCGTGCCCACACTCGCTTGCGTGCTCCTTCCATCGAAGAGCCAGCTCCGCATCTGCCAAGCTCTGTGTGTTTGCAGCACAATGTAATTGGTGACTAAATAGACACATTCCTATCCCAAGGTTCAAACTATCGTTCCGAATCCTCCAATACATTCTGGGCAGGCACAGACATAACCAGGATGAACACACTGCAACGAGTGGTGTAGTTTAACTTTCATGATTTATTTAATAATCTTACGGGAATTCATAAGATTGCCAAAAGAGGGAGTTTATGTTGCATCTAAGTTTACGTTTCCTTTGGAGGAAAGCAAAGCAGTTGATCCTCAAGAGGGGGGGTGGGGGGAACCAACCTGGGTACTTCAAATATTGTTGGACTCCAACTCATTTTAACCCTAGCCAATGGTCAGATGGGCATTGTAATGATGGGAATTGTAATAGAGGCCCTCAGGTTTCCTAATCTTGTTCTACAAAATAAAAAAGGTAAATATTGATGCAGCTTCTCTCTCTCTCTCTCTCTCTCTCTCTCTCTCTCTCTCTCTCTCTCTCTCTCTGTGTGTGTGTGTGTGTGTGTGTGTGTGTGTGTGTACATGTGCACACACATGCATATATACAGGAAGAGAGTAATTTATTTATTTAAAACATTTCTATGCCACCCCCATCGCAACAAAGCCTCGGGGCGGCTCACAATAAAAACAAAAACAAAATCATAGAAAAACTTGTACCTAAAAATATTAAAACCCAGTGCAGCTCGGCTAATTTTTTTTTTAAATCCTCCATAATAAATTAACACTTAAAATAAGTTTTAAATAAAAAGGTCTAAGCCTGGTGCCAAAAAACAAATAACGATTCCATTCCATAGGTGGGGCGCCACCACAGAGAAAGCCCTCCTCCGGGTACTCACCCTCCTAATATTCACAGAGGGTTCCCGGAGAAGGGCATCTGTTGCTGATCTCAAGGAGTGGGAGGGCATATATGGATGCAAGTGTTCCTTTGGATACCCAGGGCCCAAGCCGTAATGAGGTAGTTACAAAGGTGTTCTGCAATAATGCTCCCTTAATGTCCAGGTCTTGAACTATGAAGCCACCACAGCCAGATATCAGCTATTTTATGGGGCAAAATTGGTGCAATGAGTGACTACTGCCCAGAAGAGCTCAGAGACACATCCCTCCTCTTTCACCCAGAGGCCTCCAAGCTGGGAAGGTATCAAATTGCACCATAGACTGCAACACCAAGGCCATAATGGGTGCAGTACCCATCTGCAGATATACCTGGCTCCACTCAGATGGCCTCGCACAGAAGATTCACTCCCGCACTGAGAAGCTTCCCTCTGATGTGCAATGTGCAGACAGGATGGACCCCATCAAAAAGTGAGGTCGACAGCCGGGGGATGGGGTGCCAGTAGGCAGCTTCTAGGCCGTGTAAGTGCCTGGACCTCTTTCTCCCAGCAGCAGCAGCGGGGCCCGTGCACAGGCCAGTCGCACAGGCTCTAGTCAGCCCCTCAACAAAAGAGCTGTGGCTCCCCCACCTGCATCAGGACGGCACAGAAGCGCCCGGAAGGGGGAAAGTGCCAGTGCTGACCAGGGGCCCTTTCCACCCCTTCCCCCCCACCCCAAGTTTTACGGGGCCATGCCCAATTCCTTCCTGCATAGGAAGCAGATAATCAGACTGGTGGGTCTTGTCCATTGAAGAAAGAGGCTACAGCCTCCCAGTGCAATTAGATGCGCACCCCCATCCGAAGCATTTCTGCTAGAGGGTGATATCCCCCAAGGGGACATTGAGAGGGTCCACTACAACCCCCCCCAAAAGGTTTTTATTGTCAATATTTAACAGTACCAAAGAGGGAAGGGGGGCTCAGACTGATCCTAGACCTTAGAGCCCTCAACAGGTTCATCACACACAGGAAATTCAGAAAGGTCACCCTGCAGGGCATTCTCCCACTGCAGGGAGACTGGTTCATTTCCACTGACCATAAAGATGCCTATTTTCACATTACGATGAACTATGATTACAGGCACTTTCTACGCTTCCAAATTGGCGAGGAGACATTCCAGTTGTTGGGTCTCCCATTCAGCCTCTCAGTTGTCCCCAGGGTCTTCACAAAAAGCATGGCGGCAGTCTGCACACACCTCCAGCTCAAGAGAGTAGCAGTCTTCCCATCTTAGTGATTGTCTCCTGGTAGTCCCATTCAAGACTGACGGACAGCATTTGGTCTTAACCACCTGCTCTTTACTGCAAACACAGGACTGTATTGACATCATGTAAAACCTGTTCTTTCCTGCTCCCAGTCCATAATCTTCATAGCCACGGATAGCTTCCTCCCTCACGAACCTGTCCAATCCGTTTTTAAAGCCATCTAGATTGGCAGCCATTACCACTTCCCGTGGCAGTGAATTTCATAATTTAACCATAGAAGTAACAAAAGAAACAAGCAAAGCTAGAAAACTAGCCCTCAGCGTGCCTCCCCTCTAAACTGGAACGAGCCAACACCTTCACAGCCGATCCTCCTGGTCCGTGAAGCCGTTCTCAGCAGTCGCTTTCACCCGGCAACACTCCCTGGTATCTTTGACGCTAGGTCTGCCTCTCACCTCACATTGGTGTGTTTCCTGAACTTTCCCATAGTAGGTGAGACTTAACTAATCTCTACAGCCACCTGGCTTATCTCTAAGCTTGGCCTTTCACCTGCAGATTCCAACCAGGAAAGAAGACCTGGTTACACCCTCAAAGGCCCGCTGTGACGACTTTGCCAGGCATTTCAGGGAGAAAATCGCTCAGATTCGTCACGAGCTGGATTCCACTATTGATTCAGAGGTTTCTGGGGAGATGCCAATGCTGCTGTCTGGTCCAGAATTATTGGATGAATTTCAGTTATTGCGGCCCGATGATGTGGACAAGGTGCTTGGACAAGTACGTCCCACCACTTGCCTATTGGACCCTTGCCCGTCTTTGTTAATAAAGAATTCCAAGCACGGGATTGGGATCTGGATCTTGGAAGTGGTTAACGCTTCTCTGAGGGAGGGTCGGGTGCCTGCCCCTTTAAAGGAGGCGGTAGTCCGACCGGTCCTGAAGAAGGCGTCACTGGATCCAGAGATGGCCACTAATTATAGACCAGTGGCCAACATCCCGTTTCTGGGCAAGGTGTTAGAGCGAGTGGTGGCGGGACAACTCCAAGCACTCTTGGATGAAACTGATTATCTGGACCCATTGCAGTCCGGCTTCAGACCCGGGTCCGGTACTGAATCTGCCTTGGTCGCCCTGTACGATGACCTGTGCAGGGAGAAGGACAGGGGGAGTGCGTCCCTGTTGGTTCTCCTGGACCTCTCAGCGGCTTTCGATACCATCGACCATGGTATCCTTCTGGATAGGTTTGCGGGATTGGGGGTCGGAGGCACTGCTTTGCAGTGGTTCCACTCCTATCTCAACGGCCGGTTCCAGAAGGTGGTGCTGGGGGACTATGGCTCTGCGCCATGGCAGCTATGCCATGGAGTACCGCAGGGGTCCATTTTGTCCCCTTTGCTGTTTAACATCTACATGAAACCGCTGGGAGAGGTCATCAGGAGGTGCGGGCTGCGGAATCATCAGTACGCTGATGATACCCAGCTCTACCTCTCGTTTTCCACCAATCCAGGTGAGGCAATGGCTGTACTGAACCGGTGCCTGGCCAAGGTAATGGGCTGGATGAGGGCCAATAAACTGAAGCTCAATCCAGACAAGACGGAGGTCCTGTTGGTTGGCGGAGCCAGTTTCGGAGAGGGTGAATTGAACTTGTCCTGAACGGGGTTGCACTCCCTCTTAGGGGCAAGGTCCGCAGCTTGGGAGTGCTCCTCGGCCCGGAGCTTTCACTGGAAGCTCAGGTAACAGCAGCGGTGAGGAGCGCTTTCCTCCAGCTTCGGCTGATTCATCAGCTGCGCCCCTACCTGGAGTACGACTGCCTGGCAACAGTGACACATGCACTGGTGACTTCCCGCCTTGACTTCTGTAACGCGCTCTACGTGGGGCTACCCTTGAAGACGGTCCGGATACTTCAGTTGGTTCAAAATAGAGCTGCCAGGCTGCTGATGGGGACTGGGCGTTATGGTCACATGACTCCAGTTCTCCGTCAGCTTCACTGGCTTCCCATTGAAGTCCGGGCCCAATTCAAGGTGTTGGTAATGACCTATAAAGCCCTAAACGGCTTGGGTCCTGGTTACCTGAAGGAGCGCTTACATCCATATATGCCCAGCCGCCCCTTGAGATCAGCGGGAGAGGCCCTTCTCCGGGAGCCCCCTGTGAGAGAAATTAGGAGGGTGGCTACTCGGAGGAGGGCTTTCTCAGCAGTGGCGCCTAAGTTATGGAATGCGCTCCCTAGAGAGGTCCGCCTGGTGCCGTCGTTATTTGCTTTTCGGCGCCAGGCGAAGACCTTTTTATTTAAGCGGTATTTTAACTGTTAATATTATTTGATCTTATCTGGCCAGGACAGCTTATTTTATATTGTATTTTTTGGATTTTTAATGTTTATATGTGTTGTGATTTATTTTATAATTGCTTTTATTTATTGTTTGTAAGCCGCCCCGAGGCTTCGGCGAATGGGGCGGCATAAAAATGTTTTAAGAAATAAATAATAAACTCTTCCTCCTTTCTGACTCAGAATCTGCTGCTCTTGGTGGTTCTTTTCTACAATTTCTACAGGGATGCTGGGGGGAGGGTGGGTTGACAAGGGGCAAGGAGAGCCAAGCATTGTTGTCATGCAGACTGGGTGCAGAATGACTCCAAGGCACAAAGGGCCTGGGAGCCCTCCGACCCCCTCTGCGGAGTCCCAGGACACTGCTGGGCTGGAGGCAACCTGGCCATCTTGCATCCCCATCGACAGCATTTGTCTCTGTCTTTCTCAGCTTCAGGGCAAGTGCTTGATCCTAACAGTTTGTGCTGCTGGAATTGGAGGCACTTTCCAGTATGGCTGCAACCTCAGCTTCATCAATGCCCCAGTCATCCAGGAAAAAGACACTGCCAGGAAAAGCTGGTAAAGCTCCTTGCAACAACGGCCCACTTGCATCGTGCAGCTTGGCCCAGGTTCTTGCTTCCTATGTGAAGGGTTCCTCGGTGTAACCCATGTGGGACCGCCTTGTGGGCACTGACCTTTCTGGGGGGGGTGACTAACACTGGTGCTTTTCCTCCCCCGACTCCCCAGTGTTCAGAGTGCCTCTCAAGCAGGCCTAGTAGAAAATGATGCCAATCCCCCCCCCCACTTTCCTTTTTTTAATGTGTGTGGGGGGTGCTGACTTTCTGGAGACCATTAACTTGAAGCTGCAATCCTATGCATGTTCAGATGGGGGAAATCAGAGTTGGCCAGGACACGCTAGTGGTCGTGGGGCTTTTTCCTGTTTAAACATGCATAGTATTGCACCCTGCATTCATGGTTTCCTGATGCATTGTATGGCAAAGTATGGCGAAGTTTTCTTTACAGGTATTGAAGTCTTGTTTGCTTCATTTGCAGTTTTCTCTCCCTCCAAGAGCTCAGGTTAGCATAGGCAGTCCCCACCCCTATTTCCTATGACAGTAGCCTTGCCGGCAAAGTGATAGACCCAAGGTCACCCAATAAGCTGAATGACCGGATGGGGCAGATCTACACTTGAATGTCTCCAGTCCATGCATGTGTAACACCTGCTGGACTGTGAGATGCATGTGCAATGGGGGAGTGTTGAATGGTCAGAGTGCAAAAAGCGTTTGTGTGCAACACCTGAAGAAAGAGATGTATTTGATTTCTGCAAAACTGACACTTGTTAAACTACAGTTTATCCAGAGCTTTATGAATGAAACATGGCTGGGGCGCACTGGCACCCCCTTAGCAGGATGGATGATCACTCTTATCTGGTCCTTCATTGTCCCCGTGTATCGTCTGGGAGGACTCACAGGAGCCCTCATTGCTGGTCCCATGGCAATTAACCTGGGAATGTGAGGTTCACTACTCAAATTTCAGTGATCTCAAATTTTCAACCATTTCAGGCTGATGAACTCTAGTAATTTGATCAATCTGAAAAGAGAGTGTGTGTGTGTTTATTGGCTGGGGTGGGAGTGTGTGTGTTCAAGAACTGGGCCATTCTGCACGGCTTTTCTGTATATTGGATAATATAGATAATTGTTGTCATGAAACCAAATACAACTTGATTGAAATTACATTTGAACTGTACATTCAAGGCCGCTATTCCTGGCATTTTCTCCAACCCTAAGCCTCATGCAGCCGAATGGCTGGCTGTATTAGCAGTAGGAACCAAGCAGTTGCTTGGAGGCCTAGCAACCACGGGGAAGACATGGCAACTGGAAGGTATGAACAACACCGGGGCTCTCAAATCAGTGCAAAGTTATGGCATTCCCAAACTATTTATTCTTTCACCAGTAAGGAGTGCAGTGATTCCCTTCACAGCACCTCCCTCCATGCTGCCTTGCACCATTGGGCAGGGTCAAGCATCTCCGGAGGAAAAGCTCTGCAGTCCCACAGGGACTAGCCGTCTTCCCATCACTTGCTGCTGCTGCTTCTGCTGCAGACTTTGGTGGGTGTCAGCATGATGTGGAGCAGGGACACCCGTCCTTGCCAAGTGCTGCTCAGTTGCTTGTGAATGGACATGAGAAATTTGGAGAAAATTATGAGTCTCAGGGGCAGTGGCAAGAGTTGGCTACGATTTCTAGAGCTTGGTGGGGAGCACCAGGGACAGGTTGTCTGCTTTCCATTCTGCACAGTTTTCACATATGAAATTAGTGAGAGAAATTGCTTATGCCCATTGTGGGGAGAAACCATGTAGTGATTGGAACCATGATCATCCAACCCATGCAAATGAAGGCATTGCACTAGAACCATCTCCAGTTGTTGTTAGGTGAGAGAGTCCACAGTGGCAAATGCAGGAAGAGCATATAGATGCTTCACTTATCCTCAGTATGCCTGAATTTGAGTATTTTCTCCCTTTCTTTTTCTGAAAGAAGAAATCCTTGTTGGTAAACAACATGTTTGTGGTCCTTGCTGCAGTTTTGGCGGGATTCAGCTGGATCGCAAAATCCTTTGAAATGATCTTACTAAGTAGATTTTTTGCACGAATAAATTCTGGTAAGTAAAAAAAGTGGGTAGGATGTGCACAGCATATCCACAATCTTGCCCACCAGATTGCCTCACCAGGTTTTGGATCTTTTGCTATGCTTAACATAAAATTCCAGGAAGAACAAGCCCTGGTTTTGCATTCACTCAGACACACACGATACTAGGGAAGGGAAGGGAAGGGAAGGGAAGGGAAGGGAAGGGCACAAGCTTTTGATGTTGTCTAGGCAGCAGGTATTCCTATTGCATACTCTTACTTACTCTGTATTTTTAAGGCAGTAGCTCATCCTGTCTAACAAAGGGAAAGCAAGGCAGGATGCGCTCCAACGGAGCAAAGCTCAGGGAGCCAAGGTTCCATTTGGATGCCAGGAAGCACTTCCTGACAGTTAGGACCCCAAGGGTGTGGAATGGGCTTCCACGAGAGTCGTTGAGGCCCCATCGGTGCGGGTGTTCAAGGATAGGCTGGACGTCCACATGGTGGGCATGTTGTGAGCGGAGCCGGCTGGTGCCGGAGGTCAGACTAGATGGCCTGGGAGGCCCCTTCTGACTCGCTTGGTTTCTATGTGTCTGTGAGAGGAAGTCTGTAAGCCTGTGACAGCAGGCCATTCTGTGAACACAGTCGGGAGGTGGGGGCAAGGTGCCCATGGGTTGGGATGGGTCATCCTCCTTGCAGGGTCGTTTTGCCTGACCTTTTCTCTGCAAGAATTCCAGCATTCATTCATTCATTCATTCATGTATAGGCTGCACCTGGTGGACCTCTTTAGGAAACCCGTTCAAAAGATTGGTGGTGGTCACTAAGAAGGCCTTTCTGATTGCCATTCCTTTTACTTCCCTTAGAGCTCTTTCAGAAGGACCTCATTCCTATATCTCAAGGGGGTGGGGTAGGGTTATAAGGGAAGATACAGTCTTTCAAGTTATCAGATTCCAAGCTTTGTATGTTAAAACAAGCAATTTAAATTGGGCCTGGGCTTCAACTGGCCACCAGTGTAAGTTATACAGAATAAATGTTATGTGGGCATGCAAATTGATACACAACATCAGATGCACAGCCCTATTTTGGACCAGTTGAAGTCTGCAATATCAACCATTTTTATCACACACTGGCTAGGCCAGGATAGTAAATCCTTCTTCCTGAATCAAGCTTACATAACTCTCAAGCAGCAACTGTCTACCCTGAATAAAATACAGTAGAGAAAGACGATGAAGAGCAGTGGAAATGCGACAGCTAAATGCAACAGAGGATCCAGCAGTGCAACAGCAAGCTGAGGCAGAAGAAGGGAACCTTGAGGAAGGGGAAAGTGAAGTGAAACGGGTGGCAGGCGCAGAAGAGCTAGAAGACACTCTGCACCAGTGCAAGCAGTGGAACTATGGATTCACATTCAGGGACTTGAGGGTGAGACTGGAGGGCGGCCTGCAGTGGAAGGACTGCAAATCCTCCCGTGCAGCACCGAATAGAAGAATACGAAGAGAAGAGTGTTAATGGTTGGAGAATCCCAGTTTTGTGCAAGGAAAACACATGCATGTTGGGATGATCTGTGTCAGGTATGCTGTGAGGTGTGTAAACCTGGAAAACCGTCAACTGTGCACATGAGTTCTGGACTCTGAGAGAGACAGGCTGGCTGTACTTGGGACAGCACTTTGTGCCGATGGTCTTTTTTGCTTCTTTTTTCTGCTAAGGGGTGGGCATGAATGTTCAGCCCGTGTACTTGGGCGAAAGTGCTCCCAAGGAGCTCTGTGGTGCCATGGCGTGGTGCTGGGGCAGGTCCTTGGACTAAGGTAAGATTGCATGGGAATGGACAGGGAGGCACACCGCAAAGGCCCCAGAAGCCCCACCCCCAGCGCCACCGCTGCAGCGTTCACGTCCAGCAGCTGCACGTTTGCTCAGAGCCTCGGCACGCATCTGGCACCATGGAGACACAGGCATGGCTTGGACCCATCCTGTTCCTGGCCCTTCACATGAGTTTGTAACATCCTAATGGTGACATCCACTCTGCTGCTTTACAGTCCCAGTTGTCATAATGGTGAGGCTTTGAAAGGGCAGGTGAAACATTTCAAACTGCCAGCTATGTTGCATTACGTGTCATTGAGTCAACATAGACTCTGGGTGACCCTGGGTGACCCTGAACACCCTCCTATCCCTTGTATTCCTACTCTGCAGTTGAAAATTCAAGCCTGCCGCTTCTTACAGAATGGGTTGTATATAGGTTGTATTTTGGACCTATGTGTATGTTATCCTTCAGATTTACTCTCATCTTTTACACTTTTAAGTATGTAGTCACTTCTGCAATCTACTTCCACTCTTCTGCTTCCAATTACATTTTTTAAAAAATCCTATATTGGCCATCTTAATTAAATAAATCTAGTGCTGTCTATGTATACAGTCATCTAAGCAGTGGCTTGACGTACATATTTGTGATGAAGAGATTAATGGCTTCACAAAGTTGTGAGAGTCGTTCTGCTGCATCATTTTTTACACCTAGGCTGAATTCTCCTACAGTATTGATTCTGCTTTGTTTCATACAAAGCAGTCACCCTTCAATCACCTGGGATTGTCAGCATTTCTTGTTTTGATGTGTTATCAATTTGTTCGTGTATTTTCATGCAGAGAAATGTTAGGAGCAGATGAGAACTGGCCTTTTCTTCTAGCAAGCAATGTATTACCTGGTCTGATCCAGCTTGTGCTTCTGCCCTGGGCACCCAAAAGCCCCCGGTGCTTATTGATTGACCAGGGAGATCAGATTCCCTGCATCTGTGGTGAGTATGCATGTCAGTTTCCTGTAGGAGTAGCACTGTTCTTGTTGTGCTGCAATGAATGGCTTGAAGCTATCGCAAGGAAGTCTAAAGCAAGGATCTCTGTACTTTTCCAGTCCATGCGCACAACCGCAACATGCTGACTCAGTGGCTTGTGGCTTTGGGATTGGCCTGTCACAGTTCGACTTCTTACGCTCTGTCTATTTCAGCAGGAGCTTTTGCCTATTGGTTAGTATAACATTTCTGTAATAAGGAATTGTCGAATGCAGCTAATTGTGGTGTGAAAGAGCTAGTGCGTCCTTTAAACATATGCCCTCTACTTTCTTCCTCTTCCTCTTCTTCTTGAGTTTTTTACACATGTACATACCCTTTTAAATCATTTATCTACTTCATGGAAATAAACAAATGGTAAGCATACTCCTTTGGCAGCTAAAAAACTGATATGACAAGGCTGGAATTATCCATGCAATTATCCTCTCACCTGCTGTAATGCAAAAGATTGAGGACCTTAAATTGAATGGTATTGTTGTTATTAAATTTCTATTATTATTATTATTATTATTATTATTATTATTATTATTATTAGAACATTTCTATGCCGCCCCTTGCCGAAGCCTCAGGGCGGCTTACAACACAATAAAATACAATACAATATAAAAATAACAATATAAAATTAAAATTAATAATATAAAATAAATAAAAAATATAAACGATATAAAAGAAGTTATAAAAGAAAAGTTATGAAAGAAAAGAAAAGAAGTCGCCCTGGCCAGATAAATAAGTAAATATTGTTAACAATTAAAATGACGTTTAAATAAAAAGGTCTTCACCTGGCGCCGAAAAAATATACTGCCAGTTAACCATAAAAGGCTCTCAGGGCAGTTTATAAAATACAATAAAATACAATGGAAAACATGCTACAAGATTTCAAAGCAAGACAAAATCAGTTCCATGAAAGCAGACTGTCAGGGTCAACAGAACGATGACTAAAGAGCTATTGTAAGCCACTGTCAAGTGAAGTAAGCAATTAAAAGAGCTAGAGACCCAGGCCTGGCTTTTTAGGGTTCAGGCCACTTCTGAATCAACAAGATTCTAATAATTTAAAATTATTAAGTATATAAAATTCCAAACATTTATATTTTTACATTTATTTTTATTATGCAATGGAAAAACCAACACATCATTAAAGAAAAACCCTAAACCATATAATTTTGATAAGATTTCAAAAAAAAAAAAAATCCACTATACTAGTAACCTATGTATTCCATATCCCTATGTAATCAATATGTAACATAAATTTGTATTTAATGCAAAGCAGTAAAAATCAGCCATCTATGAAAGAAATATTCCTAGAAAATTTTTAAATCCTGATTTTTCCATAAAGTTAAGGTTAATTTTGTCTGGAAAAAACATCAAATTGCAGTTGAAGATATTCACCACAGCTTTCAAACTGCCACAGCTAGAAGAAGCACATGATGAGATAATGCCCAGTGCAATCCGCTAGGGAAGAGGATCCAAAAATGAAAATTCCAAAGGAGACTAGAACAAGTTAACAAACAGGTCTGATGATATAAAGAAAATTCTGGAAGGTGAAACCCACCTCCGAAACACTTTATGATGGAGTGGAACTGTAAAAATTTATGCAACAAAAATTTAAGCATTAAGCTTCTAAATTTCAGATATAAAGAATGGAATACATAAAGCTATGTTAGGCTTGAACATTTTGAGGTATTGCATTTGTTTTAAGTGGATTTGCACTACCCAACAAACTTGCTTTAAGATAGCCATCTGTCAATCTCTCTTGACATCTCATTAATCCCCTTGCTCAAATATAACTTTTTAAATTATTTCATTGCAGTAATATCCCACCATTTTTCCTCTTGCAAGTAAACTAAGGTAGTTGATAGGTAGTCCTCCTCTACTCTATTTAACAGTCGCAACAACAACCCTGTGAAGTGGGCTGGCTAGAATGAGTGACTGGCCCAAACTCAACCAGAGAGCTTCCTGGCTGACTGGAGACAAGGACCAGTGCCCTGAGAAGCCCCTCGACGTCTAGGGGGGGTGACTCTAATCTGTGGCCCTAAGTCCCTGCATCTCCTATGCGGATCCCCCCTCCCCCCCTCCTGCTTTGGGGAGAACACAGAGGCAAAATAGTCATTTAGTATCTGCACCTGTTCCCTTGCATCAGTCACTAGATCCCCTTCCTCCTTATTTAGTGGTCCCACTGCCTGTGTCCCCTTCCTCTTCCTATTTACATGCTGATAGAAGCCATTTTTGTTGCTCTTGATATTCTTGGCAAGTCTCAGTTCGTAATCAGCCTTAGCCTTGCGGAGAATCCTGCAACGGGCCTCCTCCTCCTGGTATACCCTTTTGTCTATTTGCCCCAGTACCCATTTCCTACGGAGGTTCCTCTTTCGTCTAATCGCTCTAACCACCTCCTTTCGCATCCATGGCGGCACTCTCCTCCGCCTCCCCACCTTACTAACTAGAGGTATCGTCAAGGCTTGCGCCTCCAAAACCTCCTTTTGAGTGCCATCCACCCCTCCTCAACTTGCTTACCTTCCAGTAACCCATCCCAGGAGACTTTCCCCATTTTGGCCTTCAGTTGGCCAAAGCTGGCCCTCTTGAAGTCCCAACTTCTAGTGCTCGACCTGTTGCACGACCCCCTTCCCCTGATCTCAAAGCAAAGGATGGAGTGATCACTCGCACCCGGAGCTCCCCAATCTGTACCCCATCTATCAGCTCCTCCCTGTGGGTCAAGACCAAGTCAAGGGTGTTTCTCCCCCTCGTCGCCTTTCGGACCCTCTGTGTGAAAAACTCTCCCTCTATAGCTTCTAGGAAAGGACATGACCTGGCTGTCACCGTTGAGTGAGTCTCCCAACTAATATCCGGGAGATCAAAATCTCCCATAAATACTGTGTCCCTCCCCTGAGATATCCTTAGAATCTGGTCTGTCAGGACATCATCCAGGGTCTCAAGTTGACCTGGAGGACAATAACATACCCCCTCTGTCAGGTCTCTTTCCCTGTCAAAACCCCTAAGTTTCACCCAGACTGCCTCTACCGAATCCCCATCTGTGCTGCATTCTATCTCACTGCATCCTATCCCTTCCCTGACATATAAAGCCACGCCCCCACCTCTCTTTCCCTTCCTATCCTTCCTAAACAGGTGATTCCCCTCTATGTTTACATTCCATTCTTGCCTTTCATCCCACCAAGTTTCTGCGATCCCCACTAGGTCATACCCTCCTATTTCCAGGAGAGCTTCAAGCTCTTCCTGCTTATTACCCATGCTCCTACCATTGGTGTACATGCACCTCAACTCCTTCCCACTGCTTCCTTTCTTTGGAGTCCCCAGCCTCTTCCTTCCTCCCATCTTTCCTGATACCTGGCCTCTCTTTGTAGGAGTCCTGTCAGTCCCTGCAGTACCTCTAAAACCCTGCTCCCAGAGCCCTGATCCTCTCCCCACACACTTGTCCAGTGCAGTCAAGTTTCTGAGGGGCCTGAACCCACCCCACCAGCTCAGTTTAAAGTCTTCTGGACCTTTTCCCCATCCTTGTGAGATGCAACCTGTCCCTTGCCAGAAGTCCATTGGCAAGAAACCAGGTGCCATGGTTGAGGAACCTGAAGCATTCCTTCTGGCACCACATCCTAAGCCAGTTGTTCACCTCGGCGACCCTCCCATTCCTGCCTGGCCCAAATCCCCGGATTAGTAAGATAGATGAGAAGGCCTCTTGGGCCTTAAGATACCTGAGTTTCTTCCCCAAGGCCTCAAAGTCCCTGGTGATCCCGCCCACACCCTGCCTGGCCACATCGTTTGTGCCCACATGGATCAGCAGGAGTGGCTGGTGACACTGGAGTGAACAAGATGCTCCACTCTGTCCTTCACATGCCAGATGCGTGCGCCCGGCAGGCAGCAAACCTCCCTTGTCTCCAGGTTGGGGCGGCACACCGCCGGCTCAGTGCCCCTCAGCAGGGAGTCCCGTACAACAATCACCCGCTGCCGTGCCTTCCTGGTGTTGGTGGGCGGTTGTGCCCTGGCCCTCGCCTCTCCTGCAGCGGCCCCCTGCTGCTTGTCGTCCCAGGCTGGGGGTCCTGCTGGCACCCCGAGGCCTCATCAGCCCCAGCCTCCCCAAGCGGAGAGGACCTGCTTCCCAGCTCCGGATCGGCGCCAGGAGGAGGAGTGCCTGATAAGTGCCTCTGGAGCTAGTGCAAATTCTCCAGCTTTGAAAAAACTATCCAACTCATATTTAACATACATCTGATAAAATTGTGCATTTTGGATAAGTGACAAACTGACTCATAAGAGTTTTCAACCTATCACTTAGTACTATCTGTTGTGCTTTTTAACAGCATAACAGCTTTTAACAGCTTTCCTAGCATTCCATTGAATGAACCTTCTTGATTGTACCATTTATTTCAAAATACTCTTGTACTTCAGCAAGAATCTGATTTTTTTAAAGACTCATCATTTTAAAAGCAAACATTAAAGTGCCAAAGACCAGCAGGCCTTGGGCTATTTGTAAGTAAACTGGGCATGATCTGATATTATCAAACATAATAAAACACAAAAAACCAATATATGTGGGCCCAAATGGTGTTATTAGGTCAGTAAATTGCAGTAATCTAATCTGGACATTTCAAAAACCTATATCCAAATATAGCCAAAGCTCATAGAAGATTCACTGTAAGAGTCCCTTCTCTGCTTCCACAATGGAAAGCTTGTGAAATTGGTAGGCAGCAGTGAAAACCCTACTAAAGCTCCTTTAAAACAAGGTTCTGAAGGCCCATAACTGCTTTACTACTTGTAGCAGCTTGCTCTGAAGAAAGGCTTGATTTCTGTTAAAACTTTTGACACCAATGAAAGTTTGATAACTGCTGTTATGGATGGCCATTAAGCTACCCTTTTTGGTCCTTTCAGCTTTGCGACAACTGCGGGGTAATGATGACTTTAGCAGCGAGATGACTGAGATGCTGGCTGAACAGATGGCCATCCAAAGAGTAGAGGCCAAGGCACCATGGGAGCTGTTCTGCGATGTAGAGGCCAAGGCACCATGGGAGCTGTTCTGTGATTCAGCAATGAGGTGGCAGCTAATCACCATAGTTGTCCTTAGTAGTGCCATGCAGCTCTGTGGGAATGACCCAGTAAGTGCTTTGGCAGATTGGCTGGGAACAAGCACTAGAAAGTCACATAGATCCACCAGTGTATGAAAGAGATGAACCCCAGTTTGATGGTTTAGGGCTGCCCTTGCCCCACCAAACCTTTTCGAAAAGACCCAAGAACTGGGTGGAAGCAGAACAGGTCCAGGGTGCATCCCTCCAGGGAACTACAGCTTGGTGAAGGGCAGTGCCCTGTTCTGATGCACCTCCTTCTCAATTGCCCTCCCGCAAGACTGAGTCGTCTGGATGACCGCTGAACATGGCCTGTCTGTGTAGCTTTCCTGGTTGCTCTGCGAAAATTATTCAGATCCAATAGAGGACATAATGAAAGCTCAGTGTTCATTCTTGCATTTCCTTTGTGCCTCCAGATGTACTTCTATGCTCCCTATATTTTCCAAGAAGCTGGGATCCCAGATGACAAAATCCAGTACGGCATTATTGGCACAGGAACCTGTGAGCTGATAACATCTATGATATGCGTGAGAATCTGATCTCCCCTTGGGCAAGACTCCCTCTTAGAAAATAACCCAAAGCCCCCATAATATCCTTGATGCTAAGGATCCAAACGAGTTTGAGCAACCATATGTCACGAGTGCCTAAGAATGGCTCCTGGAAGTCTCAAGGAAAGTTCCCCATGTCTCTGCGACCCAAACCCTGCAGGGGCTTCTATACAAAAGCAGGGAGAGAGAGCCACTGCTATGGAAGTGTTGTGCCTAACGACTCAGAGGAGTTGTGAGAGAACGAGAAGCTTCCAGCGAGAGTCAGGCCTTAGAGCAAGAAGACTTCTACTTGGTGCCC